CAGATTTTTTTCTAGTATTTGCAGTGGTAAATGAACACACAAGCGTTTAGCAACAATGCTAATTTCTTGTCTTCTTTGGAAATTTAACACTTTGGTGCATTCCAGTAAACTCTGCATATTTCTTACACCCATACAATCAATTTTCCTGTCACAGACCTGTGTGGCTGCTGCAAAGGATTTGGCTATACGCTGGCTGTTAGTGGCAGCAGCTGCCATGCAGCAAAAGCTGCCTTTGACTCTTTTACTGCAAGTCCTATGCATGTCTAGAGATGGGCTGAGGGAGACAGTTTAGGATCTGTGGTGTGCTCTTCACTTGCACATATAGAAATATATCTTATTATTCTGCACCACCAAGTGGCCAGATTGAGCAGATATTGCAAGACACCTTTGGATCCAGGTTTATCACATTAACCCAGATGGGTTTGGTTGTTATGGAAGTTCGTACTGGCTCTAACCAGCAACTAGGAAAAAAAAAAACGTTTGACTATAAAGCCTCATGTTTTGAAAGAAGGAAGTGTCACTTCTTCCCTGACATCCCCTAAGGTGTTTCTAAAGGCATATTGCCAGAAGTACTTCAGGTCTCGTGTCAAGCAGAGCCCTTTGGTGGGCTGCACACCTGAAACTCGGGCATGATTTAAGTATGTCAAATCAGTAACTCAAAACTGGTGGATGGTTCTGTCAATATGAGGCCGATATTTCTGAATATCAGTGAAGTGCTTGTTTAAGAAGTAGGGAGAGAATGCACGTATCTTTGTTCTTTACCATTAGAGCTTAATACCACTATTTTTAAAAAACTGTAAAAAAGAAAAAGCTGCATTTCATCCAGAAAAATGGATTACATGGTCTAAACAGGAGGTATTTTCCCATTCTTTTGTACTTTATGTTCCTTGTGCTCAGGAGGGTTCAAAGCTGAACTCCGATGTAGTCACTGGAGGTATAAATCAGAGCGAGGTCTGTTGCTGGCCAACATTATTGTTCAAAATCTCCATCTGATATAACAGCTGATGCCAACTGATAACATCACACATCACATTTAATGTACGGTACTGATATCGTAACAGGGCAGGGAGTGGTCCCTCATTCCGTTTCTGGGAATATCAGTTAATATATCAGGAAATTTTTTTCTTTCAAGGACTTCTACTTTCTGCTCTTCCCAAATCCCGTTAATCCTACTCATCCCTACTGTACTCACCATAGAGCTGCTTTTTATCCATGGAGTTCGAGTGAACAGTGAAACAGCTCAGCTTCATTCTCAAGATATATTATCCCTATAAACCTTTAATAAAAATGCAGACCCACAGTATGTTCTAGATTTTTGTATGCTTCACTCCAGCTATAATTTTACATATAAAATTGGCTGTAGTTCACAATGGATGGCTAGTTTGGTCATTACATATTCCCCTGTTGATCTGTATTTAGTATTTTATCCGCCTGCAGATTGGACCAAGTTTTCACTGTGCAAGTAGAAAAGAAGGTTACAGATGATTCTGTAACTAATTTTCAAACTTTTTTTAAAATAGGAAGTATTTAGTATAGGTGAAAGTGTAATACTGGGCTGACTCAAACAAGAAGAGATTAATGTACACAGACAAACAGAAATGGCAACAATAATCTGAATTGTGGAGTTAACTGTAAGAGTGACTATTTCAGCTAAATTCTTTACCTGTTCCTAGACAATTTAATCAGACTTAAGGAGGGAAGCTTCAGAGTCAGAGAGTTTGAGTTCCATGCCTCATATTTTTATATTTTCGTCGCAGTTTGGGGGGAGCAAATTTCTGTTTTAAAATAAAGAAGGGCTCTCCAAATAAAGAAGAAAACCTCCAGATAGCTGTATCATTGAAGGAAGGTTGGTCAGCTTTGCTGAAATGCTGTTAGACATGAAACCATCAAAAAAGAAACAAAAGTAAGTATGGTGCCTTGAGATACGGGCATGTGATAGGTTTTTACTCTGATGAAGGAGGGAGAAATGTTTAATGAGTTGGGCCACTGGCCAAGGATCTTAAATAATACTTTCATAAACAGTATCTCCTTGGATAATACTTCACTTAACTCTCATTTCAGTGTCTCGGAGGCTTAGTCTCTTACAGAAAGTCCTTGTTACCTGGATTTCTGTGGGCCACGGGGATAGGTGCTCACTGGGAGGTAGGAATCCAGCTCAGGGCTTTACACCTTCATGTTTTGCAATGGTAGCCAGGCTTTTAATGGGCATAAATATCTCAATCAGTCCTTTGGCTTCTGAGTGTTTAGGTCCCTAAATATTTTTCAGTGCCCATCCCTGTGGCCATATTCAGACAACGTAATTTCACCTGTGTCCCTTTATCTGGAAATTCATGGTTCCCTATTGTGTTTGTCACTTTGGTTCTGTGAATTGAGCCTTGGAGGCTTTCAAAGAAAATTCTTTGGCTTGGGTACATTTGAGGTTGGACACGACCATACACATGGTCTTAATGTTTAATGCTTTTGTTTCTTTTGAAAGTGGAATTTTTTAAGTTTCTCATAAGCCCTGAGGTCAGAGTAGCAAGCATCAGTCCTGACCTGTGTGTGCTCCCTGATGGCTGAGGGATTGAATGAAATTGGGATGGAGGTACTCAAAAGGCTCGGAGGGGTTTTATGTATGTGCCTCACCATTCCTGATGTAATGCGTGGCAGTATGGGAGAAATATAGCGGGGATAAAAGCAGATGTTGAAAAACTAAACACGAATGCTGGAAATGTAAGTGTGCTTCTGATTATTTAAATAAGAACAAATTAAGAAGGAAGAATAAAGAGGAAAGACGTTTGCCTGGAGTGCAGCAATGCCTGGAGACCTCTGCCATGATCAGAGCGACATTGTGCTGAGCATGCTGAGAAAAATTAGCAAAAGATTGCACCAGGAGGACTTGCACACCAAATAAGTAAATCAGTCAAATATTATCATCCTCATTTTACAGCTGACGCTGAGAAACAGAGAAAGATGAAGTGACTTTCTGAGAAGTGATTCCAGATTTGTCCAGGGCTCTGCGCACGTCTCCACCTTTGAAAGCAGTGCCATGCCAGCTGCCACCGGGGAGGGGGAGGTCACAAACGGGATGGTGCGTTGTGCTGCCAGTGGGATGGATCCTCACTTCACCTGTCCTCAGCCTGACCTAGGGATGGCAAAGCACACTGCAGGCGTCTCAGTATCGACTGATTGCATCCGACCCGCAGCGGTGTGCCTGCAGCAGCAGGGCAACGCCCCGGGTTAAGGATCTGCCACTTTTAATCTTTGAAATGACAGCAGCTGGGGAGGGATGTATCTATAGGATATATCTATAGGATCCCAATTTGTAAATGACCACTTGCAAATGTCATTTGATTCCAGAAAGGACAAGGCTTTAGTGCTTGAGGAGTGCTCTAAATTTAGATTGAAAGTTCCCTCTTTCTGACAAGGTCACCACTGCTCATGTACACTGCTAGGGACTAGCTGTTGCCACAGGAGCTGGAAGCTTTGTAGACCACCTCCAGGAGACCAACTTGACAGATTCATTCAAAGTCTTCCCTCGGTTTTGAGCCGCATTGTTATTTCCCTTTTGCACCCCAGGACACAGTGAAGGTCTTTCCTCAAAACCATCACCGGGTCAAGCAGGCAAAGCTGAATGCTTCGCTCCCCTTCTCTGCTCCATCCACAGGATCCATAGGTCATTCCTGGGATTAAACCCTGGCACCATTTAGAGTCAATGAGAGTTTTGCCAATGATTTCCAAGGCAATGAGGATTTCAGCCTTTGTTCATCCTGTGCTGGCTGGGCTAACGATGTTCAATTGGAAATTGCTCTTTGTTTTAGTGCAGTCAAAAGGATTTTTGCCAATGATTTGAATGAGCATTGGATAAAGCTTATGGCTAAATCCAGTCCTTATGCAGAAATCCATGGATCCTACTGAATTGCTTTTCTCCCAGTGAAATTAATGGGAGCTGTATGAGAACATCTAAGGGAAGATTTAGTTCCTGTTTGTAACAATATGTTACCCCCTGATACCGGGCCTGCTTTGAAATGTTTATTGTTAAATCCGTGTATTTTTGGTTATATCTCATTAAGAACATAATACAGCCTTGGAAAGTACATTCTGAAAGGGTATTACAACAGGACTGGGATTACTGTTTGTGAGACACTTTTAACTAGGGGGAAATTTCAAATTCAATTTACAGTAATGTCAAAGCACAATTAATATATAGGCAACGATAAGGGGAACATGCAGAAGTACACATTGATAGCACTACATCAACAAATAAACTTTTGGTGCTAGTAATTAGGTACACAAGATTATTATATGTTTAATTGACTAAAGTGACAATTTGGAATTACATCTAGTCACATTTAATTGGATTTGGAATCTCTAGAGGAAAGGAAACGGAGAGCAGTGTGGAGAGACAGCCATAAAAGCAAACTGATTTTCTAAAGTCTGTTAAGGCTCTGCATTAATATCCATTTCACAATAGTTTTTTAATATCCCTCAGTCTAGAAAGAGTAATGCAATGATTGTCACAGACAGTGGGAGTACTAAAGCATACTCAGGTAGGTAGCAAGATAGCTGATTTCTTCTAGTTTGGGGGGATTTTTTTAAAGATATAGTTTAATCAGAGGTGAACTATGTCTGAGTTTGCCAGAGACAAGTGATATTCTCAGACTGTCAAGCTACATGTTGCTGTCCTAGAAGAAAATTACTTACACATATTTCACCCACAAATACTTTAAAGCAAAAGAAAAAAAAAAAAATCCAGATTAAAATATTGTATAGCAGTCATATATTTGCTTGGAGTAAAATATGGAAAAGTTGTTAGTAGAAAATGTCGGGTTGTTTGCTTGCAGATAGTTTAACTAGCTAAAAAATATTTACTTTGTCTTAAAGTTGGACAAAGACTGAGAGTTACGTGTAATCTTTTGATACAAACCTCATGTTATACTCTTTTAATATTACCGCCTTTAAATATTGCTACCTACATCCTTCTCTCCCTGTACACTCATTTATTCTGCTTTTGTCCCCAGGAGCGCCATGATTGCTGACTACATGTACTGCCTGACAGGGGGCACCGAGCAGCATACAAGCAAGCTCATCAAACTGTATTGGCAGGTAAAAATTGACAGCCCAATGAGGAAGGAGGTGCCTATCTCACTATTAAGACTAAAATGAAGGATTACTGCTTAAAAGACTGCCGACAAAGGTAGCTCCTGGGCATATCAATCAACAGGACACTATATAGCACTACCGTATTTATAATGAAGTAGATTTTCTTGGACTAATTTTAAGGGCAAAATTCAAGGTTGTTAACCCTTGGCTCATACTTCAATTTTATGGACTGCTGTAAAATTTAATTCTGGATACTGTATAGTCCCCTAAGCTATTTTTTTGTGAAGTCTTCCTACCTTAGTGACACTTTCCTTTTGCAATTTGCATGATACTAATCCTCTGACACCTTTCCAAACTCTTCAACCGGAAGGGGAGTTAAAAATGACTGTAAGGAATAGTCTCAGAGGAGTCTAAAGTGCTCTGTGAAGGATGGCTAGGTAAGACCCCAGTCTACAAAGACGACTTATGTGGGGAGTAGACCATTGACTTCAATGAGACTTGTCTCTTGAGTGATACTTATTTGAGGTGACTGTTCAGCCACATCAGCACAAATTTAAATTTAAGGGTTCCCCCTTCTGCTCTGAAGAGAGCTCTCACAAACTTGGAGTGAACGGTTGCTAGATCCTTTGCTGAGAGAAGTTTATTGCTGCAGGAGCTTATCACTGCCGGTGGTTTCCCAGCTTTCACCCCCTGGTTCCAATGGGACCAAAGTGCATTTCAGAGGGTGTTTGGGCCTCAGGCAGCGGAAGACCCTTCTGCCTTCCAAAGTAGACCTGGACCTCATGTCCTCCTTGTCCGTACAGGGAATTTAATTATGCTAGGAACCATATATGTCCCTTGAACTAAAATTTCAGAATCTGATTCTGATCCCGTTTATTTTGGGCTTATTCTGTGACAACATCTGTGACATCTGTACTTCATGCGAAGTGGTGCAAAATATGTGCGACATAAGCCAGAGTAATAAAGATCAGCATCTGATCTTTTATCTTCACTTACATGGTAAATTCTTCCTTTTTAAAACTATTATTAGTTGCATTCTTATTGGTAAAATGGAATAAATCTCAGTCCTGGGAGCTGCTGAATTTCAGTACTGCTGTGAGTGCAAAGTGCATCTCATTCAGAGAATTACCCACTGGGCTAGTGTTTGCAGGGCCTGTGAACTTTCTTATATGCTTTCCAGCAGAGAATTTCTTCTGTACAAAACAGTTTGATTTTTTTCCCCCAGTGGGTCAGACTCGTTTAAAATCTTGAGTTCACAAACAGGTTTTATGAAGGGGTCATTTCTTTGAATGGAATGTCTTTTTTTGTCTCTTAACACTGGTATCTTTTGACTTCCCTTCTTGATGTCATGGACATGAAGCTTCAAAGAATAAACTTTTAAAGGAGAAGCTGTCATAGCTGTCCTCTTCCCCAGGGGTTCTGACTGTCTTGCTATGTAATGGAGCTGAAAAAGTGGCATGAAGGACAAGATTCATCACAGTGCCTCCTTGTAGAGTCTAAACCAGAAGCTGTGGTTGGACTAAGGTGGAATGAACCAGGACAGAAGTGGGGCTACTGAATTGCTTCCAGCTATTACCATCACCTTCTAGATAGCAAGGGCCAAAGGATTTTGGTAGTGGTAGGAATCGTTCACCTCTGCTTCACTCCAGAGCTCACAGCTCATTTCTCTTCCTGATGGAGAGTTGATGCGTGGGCCTTCCTGGACCCCTGTAGCACCGAGAGGCACCACCATGCCCTTTGTGTCCCATTCCCACTCCTTCTCTGCCTTTCTCCTGAACCTGAGTGGCTGTCATCTTTGTCTGCAGAAGCTTTGAAATGTCAGTAGAGATCTAACCATTTGTTTGATCCCCCACCATGCTTGATTTTCACTGGGAGACAGAGATTGCTCTGCAATTTTGTGCCTTTTGTGCGTATGCCTTAGCGTGGGCTAGGCTAAGGATTCAGCGGTATCTATATGCTGACACACACGCAGTAGAGGCAGTTGGGTGCCCAGCACTGCTCCCACTCAAGTTAATAGCTATCACTTCAGAAATGCTGTTCATGAAGATATACCCCCAGCACCAGTCACAACCTTTTCCTTCCCGAGCTGATGAGTTCTGTGCACTCAGCGTCAGGGGTGACTTCAATGTCATCAGAGCACACAGCAACAATTATGCAAGATGATGTAGCATGTGACACTGCACTGGGACTTTCCACCACCGAGAGACCAAGCAGAGGTAACATAATCTTTTTTATTAATATTCTCCCTCTTTCACGGTGTAAAGCTGAAAATAACTTGTCACGACTATACATGCTCATGTGCCTTTGTAACCAAAGCAACAGCTATTGATGCACGCTTTTCTTGCTAACTACTCCTCTGCCCCAGAACTTGCTCACGTTGGCTCACAACCGTGAGCAAAATTTTTTGAGGAGGAAGGGAATAGATGGTGAACAGGACGGTTTGTTTTTTACTTTTCTGAAGAAAGATTTTTAGATTAGATACGTCACTCTGCTTTGATCAGTGGGCCATGATATAATCTTCTGGTATGTCATTGACTACTTTGGTTTCTTCTTTTCATGGTTCTTTTAACTGCTGGAAAAGGTTTTTCCTCCTCACAGCCTCTCTTCTACTTCTTTCATGGCTTCAAAACATCGTACAGACCACTCAAATCCTTCAGCTGATGTCTTTACTGCAAAAAATTCAGGCTCTTAATTCGTAACTGCAAAGCTCTTTATTATTTATCCTGCTTCTAAATCACTGTTTTTTTCTCTCCTGATCTATTCCTCATGCTCAGAGCAGTCTTTATCTTGTATCTCCTTTGGTTTTCTTCTCCTGATTTTGGTTTTAAACTTTCCTTTGAACTTCTTCTATCCCTGACATCAACTGCCAGGAGCCCTCTTTCTTCAAAACTCTTCTTAAAACATCCTCAAATCACTCCCCTCCTCATTATTAACTTTTACATATTTCTTCTTCCTCAGCAGTAAACTGTTCCATGTGACTGTGTAGCTCCTCTTAGGCATACTGCAAGGTTTGTACTGTCAGATTTTAAGGCCAGATGGGCTCATATTGATGAATTATCTGACTTCCCACAAAAATACCACAGAATTGCACTCTGACCTTCCTGCATTGGTGCCGAAAGAGGAAAGCAGAGACTGGTTTTGAGAAAGTTACCCAATACCCGTTTAAACAGTTTCATAATAGAATATTTGCCATAACTCATATAATAGGTGATTTATGCATGGTTGTCCCCTGTTTCTCCCCCAGTTTACAAACTGGGATCTTACTTGTCAGGTCCAAACTTCCAGCAATGTGTATTATGCATTCATCTCTGAAAGCTTAAAGGTCCTTTAGTACTTGTTATCTTCTCCCTGTATATGTACCTATGGATCATGATCAAGGCAACTTTAAATATTCTTTTTGATTAGCTTTCTTTGATTATCCCCTTTAAAGTAAATCATCTATTTCTGGATCTTCTGTACAGTGATATGTAATATCTAATGCCCTGTGTTAGTTTTGAATATTAATACCTGCCTTCCATTCCACCCTGAGATAAAGGTATAATGCTGATGAGAGGTGAAAAGGTAATCTACAATGGATAATATTATTCAGTAAGTGGGGCCTTTTTCTCTATTCAAATATTTTATTCCATGGATTAAAAATATACATTCCAAGTTAAAATATAATCAAATGGATGGGGTTTTTTTCATAACCCACTACAGAGCATGCACTGGATGATTTGTATATTGGCTGTTAGATTAAAAATAGGTGAGTTAAATAGAGTTCATCCCAATAAATAATGCGAAAGTTATTAAATGTAGAATGGTAGATATCTTCAGAGTGGTAGCAAAAAGACAAATTTTAAAGTTACTTATTACTATAGCCAGGTAAGCTCCCTGGCATTTATTGTCAGCAATGCAATTTCTCAGCAGGTAATAGCAAAACAATAGACTTGAGATATTTCATCCCATAGAAAGAGTCCCTCTCCAAACCGTCCAGTTTTACTCACACCTGTGTAAATATTTCCACTGGATAAAACCTGTGCAATATAAGCCGGATGTTTCATTTCATGAGTAAAAATACATCACACCCATATTGCAATGTCAAAAATGCCCAATGTTGTCAAACATGAACTTTGTAAATATCTTGAAAGTCATAGTCTGATTTTACCAATATCTGGCACAGACAACTTAGTATAAAGTGCCTTTGTTACCTCATTTATAAACATCTCAGGCTTAACTCATTAGCACACTACAAATTTAATTGCTTTTATTATTCCATTGTGAAAACCATGTGGCCTATTTTATACTAGAGGTTCAGCTCTAGAATCCGTTATGCATTTATATCCAAAGTCAAACCCATCTAGGCAAAGTCTTACACTAAGTGCCACTGCACCAGCAACACATATGTTGCAGAAACTAAAAGAACCGCAGGAAGGCATTTCAAACTTGTAGGTTCATATTTCTATACTTCCATGACCATCTGTACCAAAAGCCTTAATTACACGTAGCCAGCATGTACTTGCTACAGCTCAGATGGAGACCTTTCATTTGCATTGGAGTAAACTGGGCTTTTAGCTTTAGTTCCAGCTCAGCCCCAGTGTTTTGGTCAAGATTGCAGCTATCACATAGACACTATTAGCACATTGAAAATTCTGGCTCTGTGACTGCTGTGCACAGAGCTCACAAATTTGTGTTTCTGAGAATATTTCAGCTAAACTCAACGTCACAGAGAAAGCTTCCAGTAGTACAGGCATTGGCTGACACGGAGGTTTGGGTATTCAGACATTTGTTTTGCTCTCTCGTTGCTGTTATGAACATCAGGTATTTCCATTTCAAAAAAATCCGGGCTGCTGCAAGCACAGAGCAATACACACATCACACAATAAAGCAAATGATAACCCAGCCCTGCAAGGTGGCTGAACACCTACAGCGCAGCGATGAACGCTGTCAACTCCTTTAGAGCTCAGCTTTATCTCACACCTTGTGGAGCGACGATCAAAGGCAAGAAAGTTAAAAGGAAAAAG